AGAAGAAGTCAAAATAAATAAGCAGTGATAACTCTGGGAAGTACAGCTGCATACACAACAACCTTTTTATCTTTTTTTTTTTTTTGGCACGAGCTTGGGTTTGAAGCTCAGGGCTTTTGCCATTGCTAAAGCAGGGTTGCTCACCACTTGAGCCATGCCTCCAAGAGATTTTTGGAGTCTCATAAGTGTTCTTTGCCTGGGCAGACTTTGACATATCATCCTATCTCAGCTTTCTCAAGTAGCTAGAATTATAGGTTGTAGCCACCAGCAGTCCCAGCTACTTTTTACTTTTTACGATACTCTTCATTTTCAAGGCTTGAGTACACTCATTCATTCATTCCCATTCTAGCAATGAGATCAGAGAGGACAAATCCTTCCAGAGCCAGATTCTCTGGATCTGCATCCTGGGTCTGCCATTAATAGCTAGGTAAATTGGGTTATTTTGACCTCTTTGTGCCTCAACAAATTCCTTGTCTATAAATGGGGATATAAACAGATTTTCCTCCAGAAAGTTGTAGAAGCCAGGTGCTGGTGGGCTCAATGCCTGTAATCCAAGCACTCAGGAGACAGAGATCAGAAGGATTAAGGTTAGAAGCCAGAGCAAATAGTTTCACAAAACCCTATCTCAAAAAAACCCTTCATAAAAAAAAGGCTGGTGAAGTGGTTCAAGGGTAGGCCCGAGTTTCAAACCCAGTACCCCCCAAAAACAAAGTTGTAAGGGAGGGCTGCCTCAAGTGATTAAGTTGCCTGGACTAAGGAAGCATGAGGCCAGGAGTTCAAACGACACAATACCACAAAAAATTGTAGTCAGAGTTAAAACAGTTAATCAAAAAAGTGACAAGAACAGTGGCATGGCACAGCACTTGATGATCTTCCTTCTTACTTTTTTTAAAAAACTAAATAAATTGGGTACAGGGATAAAAACTCATTAGAAAGTTCCTTCGAGAATACTCAATTTCCTCTAAAATACAATTTTAAACAACAGGAAAAATAACTGCAATGACCAGTAGTATAAGAACTACATAGAATTTATTTTCCTCATTTCAAAATCTTCCTTTCATTCTTGAGAAAAAACATGTCATTCTAAACAACCAAGAAGTCATATGAAATTGTTTTGGTTTTATAAATAAAAATTGGACAAATTGAGGGTTTGTTTCTTTAGTTACTTAATGCACTAGAGGGAAAAACAAAGCTGTATGTGGCTCAAGAGAGAAGCGGCTGGAAGGACTACCCTGGAGCACACGAACAGTGCAGACCCAGCTTCTAGTCAGAACACTATTACCATGTAATGCTGGAACTTTGGGGATCCCACTACAAAAGGGAAGGTTCCTACCAATTCTAACATTCCGAGCCAGGTCTTAAATTGTCTTTATTCCTGAATCTAACAGATCAAATGAATTACTAGCACACACCAATGCACCTAAAATAGGATGACACCCTTTGGTGGCCTGAGGTAAGTATAAAGATTTCTAGATATCAGATAGTAAGAGGTGTGCCTTCTTTTTTAGTATACATTTAATTAACAAAAATAATGAACTGGAAAGTCTGACTAATACTCTCCACAATAATTTCTTAGATATGCAATGCCTTAAGATACCCTCAGTGAAAGGCTGTGGCTGTGGCTCCAGTGGCGGAGCACCTGCCTAGCAAATGCTAAGGCCCCGAGTTCAAACCCAGTACAGCCAAGAAGAAAAGATACCCTCAGTGACCATCAATAAATCTAGTCCACATCTGTTTCAGCATTCACCTTTGTTCCGGCCACACAGCCACATGATTATAAAGGAAATAGGAAAGATGATTTGGAATAAGATCCTTGCCAGAAGTTCGAAGATCCACAGGATACCAGAACTCAAACTCTTCCTTTAACCGATCTACTTTTTCCTTTGGGATCTGAGTCTTAGGAAACGGAGCATCCTTGAAGAAAACATAATCCCAAACTTCCTTGGTCATCTGTTGCGGTCTGTATTAAAACAAACAAACAAATTAGCAAACAACATATAACTACGATTTCCTTGAAAGAATCAAAATTTTAATCTAACCATGAGCTAGGAATCTTTCTTAATATAGTAATAGCATCAAACAAGGACAATAGACTTCCATAAGACTGAAAAATGGACAATAATAGGGAAGGGGCTATTTATTAATTGTTCTCAATTCCATAGTAAAAAACCAAAATTCTGCTAACTGAATTCTTATGAAAATTAAATATAAAATAAATCTTTCAATATGTAAATCAAAAGATCACAACACTTGCTAACAAACTACATTTCTTTACCTTAATTATTTACCAACCTGATGCCCAGTGGAGACTCTGCCTGTCCACTCAAGTGACCCCCCTGCAACAAGTGTGCAACTGTGTAAAACGCCATGTAAATAGTGGAATCTGAGAGAGATTCAATCAGCCACTGCTCATCCCAAGGCAGGCGAGTGCCTGCAATATCAGAAGAAGAAAATTAACGTATAAACAATTCATCCTCCATCCAGAGAATACACATTTTCACGAAGATGGCTATAGCACTTACAAAGCTACTGACTTAGGAAGTTCTCAAATTCTACTTGAATAATTAATAAAAATAAAATAGCAGACAAAACCCAAAATGGATGAAGTCTTCCTATGAAAATCACATCATAAATCCTATGCGGTCTAACGAGGACCTATTCCTACCACCAGTTATGTGGTAGGAGATCACATCCTCATTTCTCTCACCCTCTAACCAAAGCCTGACACTTCTTCCTAGAAGATGGGCACAAAAGGGTAAAAGTGTATATTGCTACTAAGGCAAAGTCACCCAAACAGAAATGTATGAAGTTTGCTTACCTAAACCATAAGTTCTGGAGCAAGCATGATCTTGTAACCAATCTAAGGAAGCTTCAAAATTCCTCCTGGCCTCCTCACAGAATCTAAAAAGAATAAAAAATTAAGTGTCTCCTTCACCTCTATTATCCCTCTATCATCTTCCATGTTTCTCATATCCTGTCCTTTTTCCCCACCTCCCATCTTACGTTTCCAGGTTCTTCAAGCACTGAGATGTCTGTTTTTTCCAATTTTCTTCTCCATAATCCAAGTACCTGGGAGTGGCCAGATTATTATTATTTTTTAAGTCAGATATGATAAAAATGACTAACAATTTTCTTGCTATAAGATAGACTAACCACTGATCACACAGAGCCACAACGCATTCATCCAAAGACCTGGACATGACTTGTTTCTCTGGTTCCATGTAAATAAGTGCATCTCCCTAAATGAGGGTAAATAGAAATGTGTCAGATGTCAAATCAATTTCCACTCCTTGGGGATGATAAAAGTAATTACTTCTTAAAAAACTGCTATACCCCCAATAACCAAAACACATTTTTTACTGTCTCCCCTCTTCCCAGAGTTGATGCTCTCTGCCTTTCCTCCTATACAACACTTGCTTTTGAAAAAAGCACCTTGATAAAGTGAATTACTTTCCCTAGCCACTGATTATTCTTTTTCAGTGAAAAATGAAAAACTCATAGCATTTTCTAATGTGTGACAGGAAGGCTTCCTATGCAAATACAAAGAAAACAGACAAATTTTTTTTTTAATAAAGATTAACCATGAAAGACCCTGTTACTAAAACTTTATAGTGCCATGAAAGATTCCCACTAGAAAACTACAAATTCTATTTTATTTTTACAAAATATAAGTATCTCTTGGCTGGAGGTGTGGCTTGAGCAATAGGGCACCTGCTTTACATGCAGGAAACCCTGAGTTCAAACTCAAGTTCTACCAAAAAAAAAAAAAGGCAAAAAGCTCATCACCGTATTGGTTTCTTGTGATTTCTTCCAGAAAAAATGTTCATGCATATATGAAATCAGGTGTCTATATCTATATATTTAAATCTACAAAAGGATACCATATATATGTGTATATATATGCATATATGTAGACACACATACATATACATACATATACATTTTAATGTACAAACATTTCGGGCTAGGATAACTTTCGAAAATAAAATTCAGTATTGTTATTCATAAATGTTTCACTGCTCTGTATTTTTAATGTAATTCTTCATGCTAAAATTAAATAGCTAGAATAGACCTTTAACTCCCTCTCAAAATTCTGATAATTGGCAAGAGGATTTTTTTTTTTTTTTATGGAATGAATCTACAAAGACAAGAAGAATGGGTGAAGAAAAATATCAACCAAGTGACAATTCCTACTCACATAGCAAAAAAGGTTCCTTTTTGGGTTTTTTTCTAAAGGGGGAAGCAGTGCTGGAGATTGGACACAGGGCCTTGTACATGCTAGGCAACTATTATATATCACTTGAGCTACATCCCTTTTGCTTTTGAGACAGGGTCTCACTGCTACCTTTGCCAGGACTGGCAGCAAACTAGGGATCCCCTTGCCTCTGCCTCCCAAGTAACTGGGATTACAGATATGTCACTACACCCAGCTCAAAAAGATTCCTTTTTGTACCCAAATATCTTAAATAACAAGTCTTCCTCAGAGAAAAAAAGAATAAGACTTCATATGCATGAAATAAGAATTGCATCCCATAAAAAGAGGGATCATTCAGAAAACAAGAATCAGCTATTGTGGTGATGGGGATTGCCTGAGGCATGCTCCAGCACCGAGCTGCACCTACAGCCCCAAAATCAGCTCTTTAATTGGCCTCGAGTTGATAATTGTTGAAGCTGAGTGACAGGTATGCAGGAATTTATCATACTACTCTATTTTTTGTACATCTGAAAACTGCCATGTGAAGATTATTTTTTAAATAAATTTTTAGAAATTTAAAACTCAAGAAGAAAAAGTTGATAGACTCTCCCACAAAGAAGAGCAAAAAGTAGATTGAGTGCAGTAGCTCACTCTGTAATCCCAGCTACTTGAGAGCCAGAGATGCGGATCACAATTTGAGGCCAGCTCCTGCAAAGAAAGTTATCAAGACCTCCAACTAAATCAATAAGCCAGGTGTGGTGGTTCACACCCGTGGATTCCTGTTGTAGTAGGAGGTCCATGGTCTGAGGCTGGCCCCCAGCAAAAACAGGAGTCCCTACCTGAAAAACAACCAAAAAGCAAAAGGGGTTGGGTAAATACATAGCAAGTCTAGTGAGCTTCCCTAGCAAGCCTGAGGCCCTGAGTTCAAAACCCAGAATTGAAAAAAAAAAAAAGTCAAGAAAATTTCCCGAAATTGAAGAACACAAGTTTCCAGAGGAACCCACTGAGCAGCCAGCAGAATGAGTAAAAACTGAATCAATCTTTATCAAGGCAGATCACCATGAAATTTCAGAATTTCATGATGGGAGGAAAAGAGATTCTACAACCTTCCAGAGTTGGGACAAAACAAGTCACAAACTATCACTGTTACTACCAGAATAGTTTGGATCCTGCTGCCTCAGTTTCCTGAGCAGCTGAGTCTACAGTTTCACACCAGCATACATAGTTAGACTAAGCAGTATCAGTGAACTACAAAACCATGGAGTAATGCCCTTACATTTTTAAGGAAAGATTATTACCAACCAAGAATTCTCTACCCAGTGAATCAAATACTAATGTAAAAGAAAGATACTTTAGACATGGAAAGTCACAAAAATTTACCTTACAGGCACCTTTGCACAGGGAAGCTACTAGAAACACAGCTTCACCAACATGAGAAAATAAGAAAGAAGCAACAGAATCAAGGAAACAGAGATCCAATTCAAAAGAAGCAAAGGGGATTCTTAGTAATGGTAAAGAAACATCCCAGATGGCATCAGTGCACCAGGACAGTACTAGCAACCAGTGGAGATTAAATAAGCCAGAAGGCTCTGGGAGAGCTTTCTTTAAGATGGAAACAATAACATATTGAAATGTCTGAAGAGACCAAGAAAAGAAATATATACTTAGGAGAAATAGAACATTAAACATATATTAACATATTTTTAACACAGTAACTCCAGGAAAAAAACAAAATCAGAAGAGAAAATTCTCACTACATAACTATATAACTGGATTATCTCAAAATGTAAACAATGGATGGAGATGTGACTCAAGTGGTAGAGCACTTGCCTAGCAAGCACAAGGCCCTGAGTTCAAACTCCAATACCATACACACACACAAAAAAGTAAACCATGAGTATTAATCTAGCACAAATTGTAACTACATTACAAAGATAGAGGATGAAGAAGTTTATGCAAATGTGGCAAGGGAGGGACTAGGAAGTCAGTGGCTGATCCTAAATCTGAAAAAAAAAAAATTACTCTATTAGCATTTAGATTAAAGATCTATACAAAATGGGGACATCAATATTAAAAAAAGCAATATAGCTAAAAGAGGTTCCCTCCAACAAAGTAAAATTTAAGAGAATGTGGGAGGATAGAGAAGAAACTTGTTTTTTTTTCTTTTTTTTAATAAGCCTAACAGACCATCAGTTCTTTATATTATACATATATGTAACTACCAAAAATACAAATTTGAAGAGTTAAGGAGTTAAGTAGCTAAGTAGAAGAGAGTTATGACAAAATTGGAGAAGTAAAGTAAGGTGAAAATGGAAAATAAGGCACCACACAAGAGAAGAATATGACTACCATACCAGTATCTAAATTAGTCATTGCCAGAATATCATTCAAGTTCTCTTTATGTGCTTTGCACATGTCAGCATTAGAACACTACCTTCATCAACATCACAGCTGGGGATGTTCAAGCTAAATGAATTGCCAAATATACCTATTTTCTGCCAAAAATTCCACACTGTCTTTAATATAGCTCCAAGTTTTACCACAGAAGTCACTGTCAATAATACCATTAAGTCTATTAATTAACAGCTCTTCCAAAATAGCCTTCAGAGAATAGTCTATCACATACAGCATCAATCATCCTTTTCTGAATAGGCTTCTTTACGTCTTGGATCTTTTGTCCTTTAAATCCATCTACCAACATTACCTAAAAGGATGAGAAGGGGGAAAAATACATACATAACAATTAAAACTTGCTTTGAGAATCCCCCTCAAATTTTTCCTAACTAAATTTACTTCCACTGTCCAAACCAAACTACTTTTAGTGTAAAATTTATCACGTTTATAATCGTGGCTTTTTATCTTGGGATAGGTCAGACAACTAATATTTATAACATACTCGTTTTTAAGTATAACTGTGATAGCTGTTACGAGCTTGATTAGGAACCCATACTCATTTCTTCTTCAGGTTTCCACATGGAGAAGATGCAGCTCTGCTAACTCATGTCATTGCTATGGTTTTAGGAGAGGGAACTGAGCAAATGCTACCTCTATGCTTCTCTTCTAACCCTTCCTACTATGGGCCTGCTGCAGGCCTAATGTTTTTCAAGTCTGCCTTTTACTCGAAGAGCAAATTAAATTTCAGGGCAAAATATTAGCTAACCCTCTGTTGCCACCCTTTACGACCCTAGGCCATAATCCCCTTACAGCTATCTTTGGTTTAAAAAAAAAAGCTTATGGCTTCTACTGATCTGACTCTCACATCTCTCTCAAATAATTTCTATTTTAGGTGGAAAAGGCGTACATTATTTTTTGATCTTCCAACTGCTAACATACCAAATGCTTCATTATGTATTTAATTTAATATTATGAAGTTATATTTAGTGATGATTGTATTGCACAAATCCTGAAGCTAAGCTGCCTAGTTTGAATTCCAATTCTGTCACTGATCCTGAGTAAACAGTTACCTGCTTTATCCCTCAGTTTCCTAATCTATAAGCTGTGGATGACAATACCTATTACACAGGGTTATTCTGTGAATTAAATAAGTCAATGTATAAGTACTATATAATGTTGGCTCTTAGTATCACTCAAAATATAAAGGTCACTTAAAAAACACATATAATTCTTGGTTATCTAGGAAAATGATGGAAAGATAAAAATAAAAAACATTTTCAATGGAGCCATTAAAAATCTTCATTTCAACTTCAAGAGGGTAACAATCTGGTTAAAGTTTCACTTTCTCTAGCTAGTTTTCTTTCCATGGACATCTAAGCCACACTGAAATGCACAATTGAGAAAAGAAAGGTTCCATACATGTTTGTTTGCTCACCTGGCATTTAGTGGGCATTAAAAAGTAAATGAATGGACTGAATGCAACAGCTTAACCGAAATATAAACTCCTTAATTAAAAGCAAAAGAAGGGAGAAGTCATTTTTATGCAATAAACCTTCAAGGTTTATAGCACAATAAAATGAGCTAATTTTAAATATCACCTCAAGAAATTCATTCCTTAGTCTTTGCTCCCATTTCCTGCACGAGGGCCAGGAGATGTTTCTTTTCCTCTCTCCCCCTTTGTCTACATTTTATCCTATTATTCTAAAATAAATCTTTGCTAAAACATCAAAAAAAAGAAAGAAAGAAAAAGAAATTCATTCCTTAGAGATTCCCAGAGAGCAAAAAAAAAAAAATGTAATTTCTGGAAATGTTTTTAGCTTAAAGACATGATAAAAACCAGAAGTTTAGAAATAAAACATAATCTATTAATCTCTTTCAGATCAATGTATTACTGAAACCACATTCAATTTTTCTTTTCTCTTTTTCAAAATGATTAAGAAGAAAATCACAGAACATGGAGCAAATCAAATAAAAACAATAAAAATTGCCACTTACACCTTCATAAAATCCTTTCAGATACAATTTCTCCTTTGCTTCTGTAAGTTTTTCTCGGTCATTCTGACTCTGAATTTTCAACTCATCACAAATAGTTACGGCAGCAAGATTTCCAAAACCTGGAATTTCAAGGATTGGTACCTACACAGAACAGCAATATCAAAAATATATTCACACTTAATGAAAATTTAAAAAGGCACTATAGGGCACAGTCCTTTTGCCTCTAATGTCCAGTGAAGTCATTTCAAATGTTACATATCACTACAGCAGTGGCACACATTAAGTAATCAGAGGACTAACTTGCATGTGCATGTGTCCTCTCCTCACCACAGGAATCAAACCAGGTGTACCAACCCCATCCCACTCTCCTATTACACAACTACTCCAGCTCTCAATCTCCATCAACATAGTTAACTAAATTAAATAAGGTTGCAACAATGTAAACACCTATTTTCGTGGAGGGTCTTGCTTTTGATTTATATTAAATCTTAGGGAATTTTTTGTATTTTTTTTTTTTTTGCTGTGCTGGGATTTGAACCCAGGGTTTATACCTTGAACCACTTCACCAGACCTTATTTTTTGTGTGATGGGTTTTTTTGAGAGAGGGTCTTGTGGCACTATTTGCCCAGGCTGGCTGTGAACCGCAATCCTCCTGATCTTTGCTTCCTGGGTAGCTAGGATTATAGGCATAAGCAATGGGCACCCAGCTCTTCCAGATTTTTTTTTTCTTCTGCTTTTCTGTGGTGATGAGGATTGAATCCAGGGCCCTGTGCATGTTAGGCAAAGTACTCTATCTATCACCACTGAGCTACATCCCTTGCTAAATCATCTGAATTCTTCATGAAAATTATTTTGCCAGTAATTTATTTTTCTTCTGCAGGCACTAATGTGAAAACACAAGAAACAAAACAGTTGGAGAAGATTTTGTTGAAGATATTATGGTTATGAATAAACACTCATTAGTAACATAGCAATTTCTGTCTTTAGAAGACAGGAAATCAGTCATAGTAAAAAACAAGCTAATATAAAATTGATGATACTAAAAAGCTGTTTGTTGCAGAACTGCAGGTGCCAGGTGGTAAGAAAATGCTTATTGTTCGCTTTTTTCTGGCTGTTATCTGACACAAGCAGATATCAAATTAAAGTGAGTAAATCCTTAAACAAATTTCCTTATTTTCATACTCCCATCAATTATTTAATTTTGTTACAAGGAAAGCATGTTAGCTCTTTCTTCTTCTCTGATAAAGAAATGAATGTGATTTAAATTAAAAAAAAGAAAGAAATGACTGAATACTGTGAATCATCCATGTACTCACTGGCTCAAATGGCAGGACCATGTCATCTTTAATTCCATACTTTGCTCTTAAGGCCTACAAAAAATTTAAAAAGTTAACATTATTGCTCAACACTTTATAGATATAATCATTAAGAGAAGCAAATTCCAAACTTTTTTTGGTTTTTGAAACAGAGTATTGCAATGTAACCCAGACTAGCCTCCAACTTGAGATTTTCCTGCTTTGGCTGCCCAAGTGCTAGGATTATAGATGGGTGTCATGAGAACTTTACTAACCAAACTTTAACTATTATTTGTTCTCCTTTCCATAAATAAAAAATTTTTTAGCTTGACCAAATACCACAAGAAGGGATCTGCAACCTTTTAAAATTCAATAACTTAAATTACTGTGAATGTCTTAAGTGATGAAACTGTACAGCCAAATGTAAAAATGGACACAGACACAAATACACATCACTTAAATTAAGGTTCATACTCTTCATTGCAATGAAAATCTAAAGATCAGAAAGCTTTTTGAAAATTCCATGAAACATTATCTTCAAAATTCCAACCACAGAAAGTAAGTACATAAACAAACAAAAAAAAGATAGCAGTTTAAAAATAAATGTCTATCTTTTTTTTAATTTTCTTTTTTGGCACTGACACTGCACCCAGGGCCCTCTATAAGCTAGGCAAGAGCTCTACCACTGAGTTACATCCCAGCCCAAATGTCTATCTTTTTAACCTAGTCTGAACAGCATAGTTTGGCGGTACCTCAGCAATGATGGTGAACACAAAATAAGAACATGAAATTCAAATACTTACTTGTTTTTTCTTCAAATCTCTGAAGGCAGCAAGGTCATCAGGGGAGTCAGAGGGAACACTTGTAACCACACCAGTGCCTTATAAAAGAAAGCATGGTATTCAGTATTCACTATTAGAACCACAATGAGATTACCAAAGTATTTCTAGAAATAAATAAACTCTACCTTTATCTTCCTTAATGGTGAGCATTGGGAGAACATAGATCACTTTATAGGATGTTAAAGGTGCAGAAAGTGATGCACCAAGAATTTCCTGCATAAGAAGATCAGCAGAAAAGGTGAAGAAATATATTTGTAACCATTAAAATTTGAAGCAATATTAGTATTTTAAGTCAAATATTAGTATCTTAAGCCCAAGAAAATAGTAATCAAAAATACACATGAAAAAATTCATGAGCTCTACTATTGCACAACATGGTAACTACTTTTAATAACAATGTATTGTATAGTGGAAAATCACTACGCGATTTTAAGTGTTCTCACAACAAAAAATGACAAATGTGTGTAAGGTACTGCATTTGTTAGTTTGATTTGACCACTCTACAATGTATACATATTTCAAAACATGTTGTACACCATAAATATATAGTTTTTTTCAATTTAAAATATATATAAAAGATATATGAAGTAAAATAAAACCCCATTATTTTATAGCTACTACACTAAAAATAATTTAAAATAATTACAATACCTAAATGTGGCAATGTTATGATAAATTTAGTATACCGAGGCATCGCTGTGACATTGTACTCCTTAAGAAAAACAATGTAGGAAACTATAGCAACAGCCATAAATGTTCACAAAACTCAGATCCCTCAAAGAAATATTTTTTCTTTGAGAAACCTGCCAAATGCTTAGTTAATTGTACTAGCAAAACCTGGAAACCACTTAAGCTTTCAATAACAGAAAAATCATGTAATAAAATGTCATATCAACAAGACTGACTATTACACATCCATCTTAAATGATAATTATGGATATAAACTATAGTGAAAATGATTTCTAGTGTCTTGAAAAAAAATTTGGAGATTCAGCAATATTGAACCCACATGGAAACAAACACTTTGCAGCTGCTCGCTTTAAGTAAGGAACACACTTTCATTCCACACAGGTCCTGGCCATTACACACACACACACACACACACACACACACACACACACACACACACGCGCACACACACACACACACAGACAGATATAGAATTTACAGTGATATGGGTGATGGATAAATAACATAACAGTTTTAAAGGTGAAATCTACCTTTTAATTTTTAACATCCATGTTCCTCATTCCAAAGTTTGCTCATATTAACATGGTAAGAAGGTACATTAAGAACAGGAAACAAGCCGGGTGCTGGTGGCTCACGCCTGTGATCCTAACCACCCAGGAGGCAGAGATCAGGAAGATTGCAGTTCAAAGCCAACCCTGGTCAAATAGTTCACAAGACTCTATCTCGATAAAACTCTTCCCAAAAAAAGGGCTGGTGCAGTGGCTCAAGGTGAAGGCCCTGAGTTCAAGCCTCAGTACCACACACACACACACACACACACACACACACACACACACACAAAGAACAGGAAACAATATATGTCACTAATAATGTTCCCAAGAACTTCTCAGACAAAACTGCCACAGAAGGAACTAATGAGATGTGGTAACAGATTCTTAAAGAAAAAGACAAGAAACAATTCAAATATCCATTGTGATACAGCCAAACAATGGAGTAATATGTAGCTATAAAAAAAAAAGAAAGAAAAAAGACAGAAAAAGGAAGCTATTTATGTACTGATAAAAGAAAGCAAGATGCAGCACATATATAAAGTATATTGCCATTTGTGTACAAGAGGGAGAAAGAATACATATGCATATATTTGCTTGTTTACACATAAAATATTTCTGGAAGGACATACAAAACACAGATATTATTAACTACCCCTGAAAGGGGGAACTAAGTGACTAGGGGCATCTTTTTCCTTTTTCTTTTTTTGACAGTGCTTGGGATTGAACCCAAAGCCTCATACATCCTAGGAAAATGTTCTGCCACTGAGCTACACCCCAACCCACAAAGGGTATCTTTTACATCTTTTTGTGTTTTTGAATTTTGAGCCTTATGTATATATAACAATACAATAGAGCTTAAAAAGAGAGGCAGTACTTTACTCATATTTCTCTTTTAAAAGATCACATACTTAAGATACCAAAGATCATTATTAACTAAATAAGAGAAAACAATCTTAGAAATGCTAGTAATTAAATAAATTATGAAGATAAGAACTACATAACTGCTCAGGTTTAATTAACATCAACCAAGACTTGCTTTTCAGAAACAAAGCAGTTACAATTCCTAATTTAGTAATCCCAGAACAAGAAATAGTATTCAAAAAGTAAACACAATTCCAGTGTAAGTATTAAATCTCTCAGGGAAGACTGTTGTTTTCAACCAAATACTTACTGAGTTGAAATATAAAGTTAAAAAATGCTAGTTTGGTGACACATAATGAAACGAATACTACAACAATTAAAAAAAAGAAAGAACTCCTATACACAATGTACAGAAATCACATAAATAATGATGAACAAAAGAAACCAGACCCAAAAGTATGCACACTACATAAATTCCATGATGTAACATTCAAGAACAGCAACTACTCTTTGGTATAGTCAAGTAAAAGTTCTCTTTAAAGGAGTTGGTGTGTAATAATATATGATAGAACCTTTTGGAGAGCCACTGGGACTGTTCTGGATCTTGATTTGGGTAATGCTTACTTAAGCAGATATACATGAAAACTCAGCAAAATACAAATGACTTACCCACTTTATTACATGTACATTTCAATTAAAAAGTGTTTCTCTCTCTGGGTTCTAGTCCACCACAACAAATAAATAAACTGAAAAAAAAAAAAGTTTTTTCTCAAATGCTCTTTTTCTCAAGCTTCATCGCTGAAATTTTTCTTGTAACTACATGAGCGAAAACAAGTGTGCTACACAAACTTACCTCCCCCCATTAATTCTTTAACGACAGGTACAACTCCATTATCTTTAGTATAGCCCTGGTATGACATATTCCTGGCTGCTCTTTGGGTACAAATGAATATATCACCACTTGCAGTCTCAAATCCAATGTACTTCATATCAGGACGAACCCAACAATTTGTCTGTCCAAACATGGTCTCAGGTCTGAGAGTAGCAGCTACTAAGAAGATATTTTTACCTTTCAGGCCACTAAGAAGAAAAAAGTATGCATTCACATTAAAAACATTGTGGATTCCCTAGTTAACTGTTCAGAAACAATGAAACAATAACCTACCTTAATCTGAGTGGATATGGCTCAAGTACTTTCAATTTGATTAAAGTATATTCCTGAGGTCCAACACCCTAAACAAATAAAACAAAAATATAAGGGAAAAAAGACTTGGATTAAATTTACTAACCTATGTGGGAGATCTGATTCAAAGTTCTGATGTGGTTTCCTGTACTGCTAGAATAATTCTTTCTTCCAGTACAGAGACTGACATTGGTATGGTGGACATATTCACACAGAAGTCTAGTATCTAAGGAGGAACTTAGTATCATGAGCCAGAATGGGTGTTTACCAAAATGACAGTGAAGACACAACCACCTCCAATCCTGTCCCCCAGGGCAGGTTTCAAACAGTAGTCATCACAGATATAGGCTGGGCCAGGCATTAGATGATGTACATTCTAAACCTAGCTTGGGACTGGAAGCGTGGCTCAAACAGCACAGCACCTGACAAGCAAGCCCAAGGCCAAGTTCAAACTCCAGTACCGCACAACAAAAGTCAACTTAAACCCTAGTACTGACAATAAATAAACAAACAAACTCAGCTTGATCCCTTACTAATGACTGACCCAAGGGAGTCACAATCTCTCAAAGCTTTTCTTTCCTGAACTGTAAAACAACTATGCTGCAACTCACAAGACTGCCCTGAATAACACATAAGATAACAGTTAGAAAATGCTTTGAAAAACTATGAAGTATTATTGAATTTAGGATACTGTTACTACTCACTGGGCATTGAATTTAGGGCCTCAGGCTTGCTGGCAAGCCCTCTACCACTTGAGCCACACTTTAGTCAGATTAAGTATCTCCTATGCAAAATCTTTGGGAGAAGTTCTTCAGATTTTGGAATATCTGTGTAGACTTTACTGGTTAAGCAGCCCTAATCTGAGAAACTGGCATCTGAAATGCTCCAAAATCCAAAATGTTTTGAGTACTATGACAGTGCTCAAAAACTTTTGAAATTTTGGGACATTTCAGATTTTTGGACTAAGGATGCTCAATTAAAACTATACTAGACCTTCTAAAGTCTCTCACATCTTTTAAATTTTACTCAATTCACTCCTAACAGACAAGTAACATCAGAACTGGAGGCTGATTTTGAAAAGTAGTTGCTAGACTAAAATATGTTCAAAGATGGTAATAAAAGAATGATGTACTCATAGGAGCTTGTTATGGTTTGAATATGATCACCAAAACTCATTTTTAAATGCAATCCCCATTGTAAGGTATTAAGAGATGGAGCCAGATGGGAGTGATGAGAAGTATTTAGATCATAAATGGATTAATCAATTCATGGATTAATGGATTAATAGGCTAATGGGCTATCCTGAGGGTGGCTCTCTTATGAAAGCCAGGTTGCCTCAGTCTCTCATACATGCCCCTCTCTTCATGTGATGTCAGGCTCCACCTCTGAAGACTCCCCACCAGCAAGAAAGCCTTCGCCAGATGTATTCTTTTGATCTTGGATCTCCCATTCTACAGAACTGTGAGCTAAATAAGGCTTTACTCTTTAAAAATTATCCAGCCTATAGAATTGTTATAGTAATGGAAAATGGACTAAAACAGAGCTTATAGGCTCCGATGCTGGCATTGATTAACTGTGCTAAGACTTTAGACAAAATACCCTTGTTTTATTCAAGTACTACCAGGAATAAGGTCTACAGTGATGTAAAGGGAAATGATGTCATGCAATGTACTACAAGTACATTGGAAATAAGGAGGCACATGATCAAAACAAATATAAATGGAATCTGTGTACACTTTTTTTTTTTTTTTGCAGTACTGGGGCTTGAACTCAGAGCCTACACCTTTAGCCACGCAACCAGTCCTTTTTGTGATGGGTGTTTTCAAGATGGGGGTCTCAAACTATTTGCCTGGGCTGTCTTCAAACCTCGATCCTCCTGATCTTTGCCTCCTGAGTACCTAGGATTATAGCCACTGGTGCCCAGCCCCCACACTCTTTTTAGGGCAGTATATTTTCCAAATGTTGCTTCTGACACATTAACATGAATATAAATCACATTAACTTATAAAAGAACAGATTCCTGGGCCCTACCCCCAGAGTTCCGCAATTGTGGGGTGAGGCTCAATAACGTGCTTTTTTGTAACAAGCTGATATAGCTAGTCCACAGACTACTCTTAGAGTAACCAGGTCCTGGACAAGACACAAGTCCCTATAATAGTATTCTATCTCTGTTTTCACATCCAGCAGAGGGCCATGACTCTATGCCTCAGCACTGCAGTGGAAGTCATTTTTAGGTTTCTGAGCTAGAATTTGAAGGCCACGTTAAGGATTATTATAGTAAGTACTCTACATCGCATGTAATCACCTCTCCAGTTTGTCTGTCATGATCCATGCAAGGCTGTCCATCTTTCGGAGAATAGATAGTGTATCTAAAAAAGAAATAAGTAGCAAATATTATTATAACATTCGAACTACATCCTAATCTATTTTCCAGTGCTGCCAACATCTTACAAACATGTCTTATAACTAAAACTTCTGAGAAAATGTCTACAACTCTGAGTAACTGTGTCAACCTCATTACTAAAGAAGTTTTTACCTTCATCAAAAGTAATGTCACCAAAAAATATGAACTAAATACAAACACTTGCTTTGTGGCATGAAACAAAACAGTCTAAAATATAAATTCACTTATGAACTGCAAATAGCTTTTAATTAATAATATAATCAAGGAAGAATCTTAACAAAACACAAAAGTATAAACTAAAACATAAAGTAACTATTTTTCTACTTGGTCAGGAATACTGAGCAGAATCATTCCATTCTCTATGATTCTAGTCACAAACACAAGGCAGCTCAAAAAATTTGCTTTGTTTTTTGTGGTACTGAGAATTGAACTTGAGCTTGTCAAGCAAGCACTCTACCACTTGAGTCTTGTGCTGAGTTTTGCAGTTTGTTTCTTAAATTGGGACTTGTGCTTTTGCCTGAGCTTGCCTCAGACCACTATCCTACCTCTACCTCCCAAGTAGCTGAGATTACAGGTGTATATCAACATGCCCAGATTGCTTTTGAGGGTCTCACTAACTTTTGCCTGGGCTAGCCTCAAACCCCAATTCTCCTATCTCTGCCTCCCAAGTAGCTGAGATTACAGGCATAAACCACTATGCCCAGCAGCTTAGAGAAATTAAGACAGTG